TGTCATCTACACTAGAGTCTTCATTGTATCGTTTGATGGTACGATAAACGAATCTTTTGGTTATATTCAAATTTTTCAGTATGTTAAAAATTTGAATTGGCGCGTAACCGCAACGATGCAACGCAATAACTGCAACACGGTCTTCTTTAAGCGTCCACTCCATATTTAAAAATGAGTAAAGTTCTAAAAGTACACATTTTTATTTTCATGAACAATTCGAAATTCGAATTCAATAAACTTTTTTGTGGCCAGCATTCTAAAAGAAAAGTTTTTACTGTGTGACAATACTTATGACCTGACTAGTTATATATAAATGAATTGTTGTTCGTTAGTCTCGCTAAAACTCGAGAACGGCTGGACCGATTTGGCTAATTGAGGTCTTTAATTATTTGTGGAAGACCAGAGAAGGTTTAAAAGGTAGATATTAATTTATAAGATATAAGATAAGAATTTTACTGTTGGTAGGACCTGTTGTGAGTCCGCGTGGGTAGGTACCACCGCCCTGCCTATTTCTGCCGTGAAGCAGTAATGCGTTTCGGTTTGAAGGGTGGGGCAACCGTTGTAACTATACTGAGACCTTACAACTTATATCTCAAGGTGGGTGGCGCATTTACGTTGTAGATGTCTATGGGCTCCAGTAACCACTTAACATAAGGTGGGCTGTGAGCTCGTCCACCCATCTAAGCAATAAAAAAAAAAAAAAGATAAATATGAAAATGTTCGGAATTAAATAAAAATAACAATTTTGTTTTTCCTTTGATGTGTCCCCCGTCGGACGGATTCCTTTTGTTTGTTTAGGTATTTTATTTATCGATTGAGGCACTACGAAATCTGCCAGGTCAGCTAGTTTGTAATAATAATTATTTTTTGCAGATACATATCTGATACTCCTTTTTAAATTACATATACCCACGGTTGGGTGCATTAGAATCTGTACATCACTAAATAGTGTTTATGGCCTTCAATCTTTTTGATGATAATGGACCCTGACGCTCTAGCAAGTCAGCACTACTAGGTGGACAGCTAGGCTAGACTAAGAATAAATTGCCCATGAAACTGCCTGTCTCATTACCAACAAAGAATTACACGCGCTTGTGATCACACATGACAGAAACGAAATCAGTTCAAAGGCTCCTTACTGACTACTCCTCTTCAGGTTAGAGCTCTATGAGCTCACCTAGTCGCTTTGTCACAGTGGCATAGCCCTCTAAAGATACCAGCTTAGGTAGGAAAAAAAACTTTCTGGAGAAGTACCATCTGCCCAGTAAGAAACACTGTTGGCAGTTCCATAAGAGTAGAGAAAGAGAGACAGAGAACATACTTCATTGCACACCAAAACACAATTAAGATTTGCAGTAGGCAGCGGCTTGGCTCTGCCCCTGGCATTGCTGAAGTCCATGGGCGACGGTAACCACTCACCATCAGGTGGGCCGTATGCTCTACCTACAAGGGCAATAAAAAATGAAAACATTAGAAAACAGTTAACAAACAGATACATTTGTACAATAGGCGGCCTTATCTCTAAAACGATCTCTTCCAGACAACTGATTAACTTACAGAAATTTTGGAAAACATAAAGATATAGCAGGTATATTGCAGTGTACTATTAGTCATAAATTATTATAGAAAATATATACACACAATAAATAGATAATATATACCGTAATGTTATGTAATGTGGTGTAATAAGATTAAGGTAGTAATAAATAAGTTTTGAATAGTAAAGACGTGTTTCATATTAGCTGCGGCATCAATCCTTTATAGTAATAACAATAATGTAACTACCAATAATGTAATTAAAGCCTTCATTTAATTATATTCATTATCTTAATGACTTTTTGTGCCAAGTTGGAACAGCCCCCCTTAGGCTACCAGCGAATAGGTAATGGAAAAAAGTCACAAAAATGCCTACACAGATTTTGATAATATTTAGTTTGTGATTTTACACACTAGTGGATCTACAATAAAATGGTAGCTCTGAGATGATTTACACATTTTATATGGATACGAAAAAAATAATGCATCTCTAATACTTGTCTTTGTTTTCTGGAATACTTTTGATTCACCTGGTGTAATATATTGAGGGCTATAATATATGAAATGTTATTTGGTGCCACATTAGCATGAAATTTATCTTTGTAATTAAATGTCCACTTTATTTAGTATTAATATCAACAATTCCATATTTTTAAATGAACTTCAATGAGTTTACCCCATTCAGATATCCGAAGAAGTTTTTTGATATAATATTTTTTCCACATTTTAAATGGCTCCTCTGTTGCCATTCAAATAGAGTATTGGAGCAGTGTCTCGTGCACACCGTGTTTGTTATGCCGGCTAACCTATAATTTCCTTCGATTACACGCTGCATATGTGTATTCATTAAATAAAAAATGACTGAAGAAAACGAAGGTTTCTTTAAGAAGTTCCACAAATCGATCAACAACGAATTAGCCGAAGTCACAAAAAACAATTTCGCTAATTTAGAATCGAACTCCCATGTTGCAAAAAAGTCTCTAAAACTTTTCTAAATAGCCTTTGACCCCCATGTTTTTCTGCCTCAGTACAAACCTTATCCTCAAGTGAGCCGCCAAGTCCTCCGAGAGTGGTGGCCGTGCCAGAGCCTGCACTGCTGGCTGCGGCACCCGACATTCCTCTGTAGTACACAATTATATTTTAATGATGTTCTGTCAAATATTTAAACAAAGCTAAGGCTTTTTGATTGAGTCAGGCGGTAGAAGGTACTATTTCAACTGTTACTCAGAACAAGAATTTGATACAATCACTGACAATGACCTATACTCAGCCCAGATCCTACGTACTACTGTTCCCACTGCTTACCAGCAAATTAATACTTGTTTAGTAATAAATGACTATATTATGTGAAGGCAGAATGCTACTTCAGTGTGTACTTGACTTTCTGACTATGTTATTTTCAGATTTTCAAACAATCATTAAGTTATTTTGCTATCAATAAAGTATTTTGAATAAACAATGGTGGTAAATATATTGAGTGACAAGACCACACGAACGAACGCAGCGATAAAATGATTTTACTCTGTAGGCTCATTCTAAATATGTTCTTTCACTTCACTAGCGTCCACTGGCTGATATGACAGGGCGATGGGTCAATAAACAATTAAGACAAGTTTATTTTTAGACTTTTAACATGAAAATAAATAAATAAATATATATTTGTCTTATGATTCTATGTTTCGATCTATTTAATTTAATGTGGTAACGTTTACTTACATAAATACGATGTTGTTTAATTAAAATCACCGAAGATGCATCGCTCGATGGTTACTGTTCTTCTCTTGTTTTCAACGAACACAGAAGCACAAGTTAACGAAGCTTTATTGCACAGTTGTGACTTAATGGAACTTAACGTTAGAAACAATTTTAAGAGTCTTTGAGTATTTAGTAACATCAAAACTCATTATTTTTATCGTGATATCGCGACTTAGACTTATAAGCAGAACGCCCGCACATAAATAGTTCACATTACTTTTGTAGGTGTTGCGAGCGATTAAAATAAAATAAGTCAGATAGGGTCAAGGCCGGCAACGTCAACTATTCTACGTAAAAATGAAGACTTAAAAGTTCTGTACACAAATAAGAAAAAAAAGAATAATATTAAGTACATACATACGGCATATATTTAATTTAAAGATTAAAATTATTATTTTCTAGAAATTTAAATGAACTATAGCGTCATCTACCGAATTAGCCTGTAAAACCGGCTTGACTGTTTGAGCGGAGTGGTTAACTAGGTGCAAGCTGTTTTGCCGACGAAACATACGCCATTTTGCTATTATTCCAAGGGTTGCATTATCTGTTCGTCAACAATGTAAAGTGAAATGTTTTCGAAGAATTTTCAGTGAATGTGATGAATAAGTGTAGATCTCTATGTTGGAATAAAAACTAGGAGAATGGAGGAATCCAACGAAGAGTATAACGTAATTCCAGGTAGGCTATAAGCCCAGAAAATAACACATGAATGTGTCGATCTCGAACGTACAAGGTCTAATAACGATAGCTTTTCCGATTTCAGAACTCTACTTTCTGATAGCGAAATTTCTGTCTGGTGGTCCACTTAAGGAAACTGCAAAGGTAAATTCACTACCGATCATTCTAAATTACACTTTATTACGATTTTTTAGACTAAAATGAGTATTTTTGTCAACAGACACTGCTGAAAGAGCTCGAGACGATCGAGGTAAGTTAGAGCTTTTCCTAGCGCCGGGTTCAGAGCTTAGGTTTGTTTTGATTGTAAACGCACGTGGATAGCGCTGTCAAACAGCTGAAAGTGACTGAAAGTCCGTAACGTTGCACTTGTGTGTAGGTGCTGCCGCGGCGACTGGACTGGCTGGGAACCGAACACACACAGTCCTATGAGGAACTTGTGAGTATTTCATTCAACAAAACATCAGGAGATATCGTTTATTTACGTTTTTAATCGAAATGAGCGATTAGATATGATTAAATTTTAAGAAATCGACGAAAAATCGCAAAATGTATTGGAACCCTGAACGTTTGTATAATCAATGTCGAAACCACAAAAACATGTTTCATGCATGTTTCAGTCAATATTTTTGAGTTTTTTGCAAAAATGCACAATTTTGTTATATCATGCAGTGGAGCCATGAAATGTAGGCAAATAGAGTGTTGCACTGTCTCTGTCTAACACGGGCGATTCCATATAGAAACGGGCGTCTATTTCGTTCTCTATCACGACTTCGTTCGGTTGCACGTCGGACTCTTGATTGGCTGACGATACTCCGAACAGTGCCGAGAGCAGTTGGCGCGCTTTTTAAAGTCCATAAGTCAGTCGGCCGGTTGGATATATAATTTGAGATGTTTAGATGGAAGCTTGTGTGTTATATTTTACGCAAATACTTTTGAAAACTTCATATAGCCATCTACTAAAAACAAAACTATCTCTGAAGACGTACATGTGTAGGTCGATGACTTAAATTATGAGAAACACGTGCCTGACTAGTGTCACGACGCACAGGCAGATAAAAAAAAGAAATGTTATATTAGTTTTTTGTTACCTATAGACATGTCGATTACTATTTTTAGCCCCTAATTTTGTTTTATTTATTTATTTATTTATTTTATTAGGCTCACAATACGCATCACAAGCTAAAAAGATACATAAAAACACAAAAAGAAACAAAATCTGGCTTGCAACATAAGTTATATGCGCACGACAAAATAAGACATAGTGCTGAATTTGTACAACAACATTCCTTACAATTACGACAAAACAACACGATAACGAAAACTAATCTAACTTAATATAATGTAAGAAAAAAAATATATTCACAATATAATACATTAAAAAATTACATTAACCTACCTATTACTAAGGTGGGGGATGCCCTTGAACATTTTTCTAAATATCTACATATATAATATCATCTTTACTTTTTGGCGGGAACGCGAGGAGTGAAGTTGTGTGATTTGTTTTATTTTGTCTATTTGGTGTTTCTTCGGGTTTAAATGTGTAATAATGGTGGTTTATTAACTGTTTAATATCTGTGAAAGTGCACAAATGTGGGAAAATGAAACAAAGCCGCTGGACGTAACTTCTCGGGATCCTCCAAAAAGTCCACTGAAAAAATCTTAGTAAATGACCACCATTTTACTGAGATTATATTTCATCTAATATCATCTCATTTAATTTCATCCCAGTTGATTAATGTCTCAAATTAATTATCTTCATTTCATTTCACTCCATAATATCATTTTTCATAAAAATATGAATATACATTGAAATAAGACATGACTTAAAGGTCTCAGTTACCAGGTCATAAAATCCCTTAAAAAAAATCATCTTTATTATATATGCATATCGGTATAGAGACGGTTTCGTTCATAAATGAAACGTATACAAAGGATGTGTTGGAATCGTACTGATGTGCCGTGCGCGATGCTATACGCAGGCAAGCCAGCACTCCGACGTGCAGTGGCGGCGGCTGGCGGCCGTGTGCGAGCGCGCGCTGCGGCTGGCCGGGCGGGGCGCGGCAGACGGGCGTCTGCCCCGCGACTCCGTGCGCGCCCGTCTATCGCTGCTCGGAGAGGCGCTGGTGCGACCCCGACCGCAGCTGCCCTGCTCCGCACAGGATCATTCGCTCGGTGAGTTGTGCTTTAAGCTCAGCAGCCTCAAAGTAAATGTGACGTCAAGATATATGTATTTTGTACCGTATGTTCCATGGGGAATGCTCTGAGGAATTGTTTGAGATGATCCCTTCATCTCCTTTTTATCATTGCACCTCCCGCCATCGGAGCAGAGTTCATCCATATTATCTGGAACCGCTGCGTTCATCGACAGTGCGTTTCCAGAGGTCTTTTTTGCCACGTATCATCCGGCTATGGAATGAGCTCCCCTCCACGGTGCTTCCCGAGCGCTATGACATGTCCTTCTTCAAACGAGGCTTGTGGAGAGTATTAAACGGTAGGCAGCGGCTTGACTCTGCCCCTGGCATTGCTAAAGTCCATGGGCGACGGTAACCACTCACCATCAGGTGGGCCGTATGCTCGTCTGCCTACAAGATGGAGCGTTTGTGTGTCAGTCCGGCGGCTGATGTACCGGGAGCTGGGGTGCGGGGCGCGCGCGGGGGTGGCGGGGGACGCGAGCGGCAAGGAGGCCGTGTTCCCGCGCCGGCTGCTGTCCGGCCTGCAGCTGCAGCGCCGCACGCTAGGCCACCTCTCCGCGGTCTACTGCCTGGTCTTCGACTGCACCGGACGTTACGTCATCACGGTGAGCTGTACAGGATACAACGGAGTTTGTCGATAAACATAAATGTGTCGTACCCTTGTAAACGAAGAACAATCATACCCGATCCTGTAGACGGAATGGTAAACAGTCGACGTCGCCCAAAATTCGTTATTACGGATCCTTCTGATCCATTAACGGTGCTTTTGGGCACCACAAGCACCGGTCACCGAAGGGCTCGACGAGCGAATTAACCCTTAGACACAGTCCACTGAGTTTCTCGCCGGATCTTCTCAGTGGGTCGCGTTTCCGATCCGGTGGTAGATTGTGCGAAGCACTGCTCTTGCAGTGTTAGCAACATTCCCGGCTTAAGGGAGGATCAAGTCACTGATCGTGTTGGTGATGGGGGGTGGGGTGCAGGGCGCGGACGACCTGCTGGTGAAGGTGTGGAGCGCGCGGGACGGGCGGCTAGTGGGCACGCTGCGCGGGTGCGGCGCGGAGATCACGGATGTGTGCGTGTCGCGGGACGGCGCGCTGGTGGCGTGCGGCTCGGTGGAGCGCCTGGTGCGGGTCTGGTGCCTGGCCTCGGCCGCGCCGCGCGCCGTGTTGCACGCGCACCAGGGGACCATCACCTCCGTCAGTATACACACGCGCACACACACGCACAGACACGAACATCAGCGCCAAAAGGTCCCATATCCGCAAATGATGTGCCGTGCACAGAACCGCCATGGGACCACACGGACCTGGTTATACAATAAGGGGAGGTTCCCGCACCTCAAGTAGATTTATTTATTTATTTATTTAGACACACCAACTGCAATACACACAAAATATTCAAGCTTAAAATGAACATGTATAAAATTAAGTACTGGTATGTAAACCAGTTACAGGCATGTATAGCAATCTCTTATAACACACTATGACATGTTACAGCTATAAAATTAGGCTAAATTTAAATGTTAACAGTACGACAAAAAAAATATGAAAATAATACGAAAACAAGAGTTGACTACTTAATATTCTCTCATCAATCATAAACAAAGGAACTTGGATACTAGTTTGTTTTTGAGACCAGGACGCGTGTCGTTAAAAATGTAGATGCCGTCAATTAATGCACTGATTGAAGATCTAACCTTTTGGCGTTAATTGATTCTCAATCAAATAGTGCTAGTTGCCATCCACACGTCAATGAGGATTCAGAGGTTGAGAGCTGACGTCACATGGGTGTGGTCCAGGTGCACTGGTCGCCGTGCTTCCGCGGCGGCGTGCGGTGGCTGGCCTCCACGTCCACGGACGGCTCGGTGGCCTTCTGGACGTGCTCGGGGGAGGGGCAGTTCCTCTCGCGGCCCGTGCACTTCGTGGAGCGCACGCGGCCCGGGGCCTGCCACATGATCTGCGGGGCCTGGTCCCCCGGCGGAGCCCTGCTCGCCGCCGGCAGTGCGGACCACCACGTCAGGCTGTACGCGCTGGAGCCCTCGCCTAGGAGGGTACGTATCTACCCTCCAGCGCCAGTGGAGTGCAGGCGTGCTTGATGCAGATATCATTCAGGTAAAATTCAACGGCCGTCTGGTGTAGTGGTAAGTGACATGGTCACTACACAAGGGGGTCGCGGGTTCGAATCCCACCAAGGGAAGATATTTGTTTGATAAATATAAATGTCTTTTCCAGGGTTATGGATGTATATTAAATATTAAATATATGTACGTGTGTAATAAAAATCTTACATTTATTTCCGTTATCTGGTACCTGTAACACAAGTTCTTTACGAACTTAGCACGGGACCAGTTAACGTGGCGTGATTGCATTAAAATAATAATAATAATAATAATATCTAAGCCACAGCTGTATGCTTAGTGCGAGTTTTTTTTCATTTCCTGAACCATTTTACATTTTCAAAGATGTGCCCTTTTCGAAATTGCATATTATTATTCAATTGCTTTCTCTTGTAACCTGTAACTGTGCTAGTAATGTTATATTTGTTCGTCTAGAATTGCTACTTGTGAGTGTTCTGACGTGAAGATGGCCGCTAGACGAGACAGTGGAAGCGCAGGGGTGGGAGTGGGGGTGGGGAGGGGGCGGCCCCCTGCGACCCTCGCCCATCAATAAATACGACAGTACAACAATTTGTTGTGTTCTGCAGATACTAGAGGTGGCGGTGCACAGCGACGCCGTGGACAGCATCGCGTGGGCGCACCGAGGTCTGAGGTTCGTCTCCGGTAGTAAGGTAAAGCTTGAGACTCTTGTACAAACGACTTCCCTGTCATTCTCTCGAACCAACGTCACTGTCATGTGAATGTCATTGCTCAAACGACTCAAACAGAGCCGCAGTAAATCAAATAAAAAAAAATTTATTCAACATAAATGAAAGTACATACTTGTTGAACGTCAAAAATAACTACCGCCAATTCACAAAACTAGCTTCCGTCCTGAGAAGAATTGGCAAGAAACACAGCGGGCATGTCTTTTTTTTTTTTTTTTCTAGTAGTTGTAGTACTAACGTGAAGGTCTTTAGCGCTTGTTCAAGTTCAGTTAAATTCCAAATCCAAGTGTGATAGAAGACATATAATGAACGTGATTAGCTCGTAACTGTGTGGTCGCGTGTACGTGGTGGCGTGCGCAGGACGGCACGGCGGCCGTGTGGAGCCTGCACGCGACGCAGTGGCGCCACGCCATGCTGGTGCCCGCGGACCACGCCGGGGACGGGGCCGCCGCCGCCGGGGACGCCAAGAAACTCAAGGTGACCATGGTCTGCTGGGACCGCAGCGACCGGTTCGTGGTCACGGCCGTGTCGGACCACACGCTGCGCGTCTGGTGCGAGCGCGGCCGGATGCTGCGGGTGCTGCGCGGACACAAGGACGAGGCCTACGTGCTAGAGCCGCACCCGCGCCTGCCCGCCGTGCTGCTGTCCGCGGGCCACGACGGCCAGCTGTTCGTGTGGGACGTCGAGAACGGAGAGGTGAGTCAACGGCAATAGTGTGACACGGGTCTGGCATTGGGGGTTTGAGAGCTAACGTGCTGGTGTGTGGCAGGTGCTGTGCAACTTCCAGAACACCATAGCGGGGCAGGGCGAGGGCGCGGTGTTCGACGCCAAGTGGGGCGGGGACTGCTCCGTGGCGGCGTCCGACTCGCACGGACACGTGCTGCTGCTGGGGCTGGGCCAGGGACACCCGCTGCTGCACGAGCTGCCGCACGAGCTGTTCTTCCACACGGACTACAGGCCGCTCACCAGGGACGCGCTCGGTCAGTCTCTCCCTGCGACAGTCTAGCCGAGACCCTTTTGCACTGGTGGTAGGACCTCTTGTGAGTTCGCGCGGGTAGGTACCACCGCCCCGCCTATTTCTGCCGTGAAGCAGTAATGCGTTTCGGTTTGAAGGGCGGGGCAGCCGTTGTAATTATACTTGAGACCTTAGAACTTATATCTCAAGGTGAGTGGCGCATTTACATCGTAGATGTCTATGGGCTCCAGTAACCACTTAACACCAGGTGAGCTGTGAGCTGGTCCACCCATCTAAGCAATAAAAAAAAGACCACGCCCACCGCATAGTGAATGGCACTTTAGAGCAAACGACGAACCCTCAGTGGAAGTAGTATGACGACCCCCACAGACACAGCCCACTGAGTTTCTCGCCGGATCTTCTCAGTGGGTCGCGTTTCCGATTCGGTAGTAGATTCTGCGAAGCACTGCTCTTGCTAGGGTCAATGTTGCACACACCCGGCTTGAGCCTCGTGAGCTCACCTACACGTCAAGGAGAAGCTGATATAGCCTCTCAAGGCTATCAGCATAGGTAGGAAAAAAATACGACTATCAACATCCGATATCTTCGTGGTAGCAAATACAAAAGCGCCCTCCCACTCAAACTTGTCTAACATCGATTGACCAGGATGTACGAGTAATTTTGATTGGTACATTAAAACATCCCTCGAGTGATCACGTGTTGACCGCAGGCGGCGCACTGGACGAACAAACTGAGACCCCCCCTCACCTGATGCCACCTCCGTTCCTGGTGGACGTCGAAGGAGCCCCGCACCCCGCGCGCTTCCAACGCCTGGTCCCGGGGCGCGAGCTGTTGGCGCCCGAGCTGCTCTCCCCCGCCGGGGCCTCGCCCCCCGGTGGCGCGGCGCCCGCCCCTCCCGGGGTGTGGAGGGGAGAAGGCGTAAGGCACGCGGGGGGATCGTGGCTAGCGGACGCCTTACAACTACCCCCCTCGTGTAGACCCATAGTCCCTCCCCTGCCTAGCTCCGTCAGGCAACAGATTGAAGAAACTAGGTAAGAAAGTCTTGCAATTATAATAAGGTTCATTGTCGGTTAATTTTTCACAAATCTTCCTAATGTAGAGGCATGTCGCCAGTGTGGCTATAAATACAAGACGGTTACTGTCGACATACAGCTGCGAGGTCCAGGAGTGGGAACTGAGTTGGTATCGACGCGAGATGAGGCGGCGCCCCGTGATGATCTCGACGAGCGCGGAGGGGAGTGCCCGGGGACCGCCGCGGCCCCGCAAACGAGCCCCCCTGGTGCACGCCCCGCGCCCCGCCGCCCAGGTACGCAGCCGCCCCGCGCCCCCGCCGCGCCCCCCCGCCCCCGCTACAGCAGGACCGTGTTCCAGGTGTGGAGTGCGTCGGAGGCGGAGAGCGCGTCCGGCTCCGACTCGTCGGATCCCTCCGTCCGGCTGTCCGCCTCGTCCGCGCCGCCGTCGGACTCCTCCAGGTGCTGTATACTGCTGCGCACACGCGCGGCGCTCGCTACACTTGCTCGCGACACTAAAACACTTGATAAGAAAATTTTGAATCTTTTAACACAGTTTAGATAAAGTTTCGTCGGGTCTCACCTTGGGGTCGACGGGGACGGCTCTGAACTCCCTCAAAGAACATATTTTAATTTATAAAATGGTATTTGGTCTTGTGTACAACATCACAATGGTCCTTGGTCCCCACGGCCCCCCAACCCCCCGTCCCCCTGTAGACAGTATGTGTCAGTACATGTGTGTTTGTTCACGCGCAGCTCGCACTCCGGGACCCGCAGCGACGAGTAAGTTCACATCTCATTCACTTTTGAACATTTATTTACGGCCCTTGGATACTCAGCCTACTAGCGTACCTTATTAGATTAATTGACAAAGGGGCATGCCAGATCTAGGCCCAGAGCTGCACAGTAATCTGGTTATACTAAAAAAATATATTAATATCTATCCTAGTTCTTCCTTGTATTCATTATTCTATGCAAGCTGGTAATATTTTTCCAAAAATATTAAATATTTAAACGACTACGCTTGGAAGGGTAATATATAGTACATTACCGTACAAATGTTGCCCCGACAAAAAATATGTTGACATAAAATTAACCGGAAAAATAATTAATTTATTTTCTATCATATATTATTTCAATCGTTCACTATTCATTTTGTAAAAATATATATAATAACACAGAAAATACCTGTAACAATAATTATGATTATTTTTGTATGATAGCATTGATTTAGTTAAAGTAACTATTATTGATTTATCAATTTTTTGTGTTTTTTATGGCAACACCATTACTGCCTTGATAGAAGCCGGAAATCTTAAATGTCGAAATCATTGCTTGTTTTGCAACTGCCTAGTTTTTTTTTTTTTTTTATTGCTTACATGGTTGGACGAGCTCACAGCCCACCTGGTGTTAAGTGGTTACTGGAGCCCATAGACATCTACAACGTAAATGCGCCACCCACTTTGAGTTATAAGTTCTAAGGTCTCATGTATAGTTACAACGGCTGCCCCGCCCTTCAAGCCGAAACGCATTACTGCTTCACGGCAGAAATAGGCAGGGTGGTGGTGCCTAGCCGCGCGGACTCAGAAGACGTCCTACCACCAGTGTAAAAAGTACCTACTTGTGACTGTTTGTGTACATTTTTTATGGTTTAAATCGACAACTTTTTACCTATATAGTTACAGTAGGATGCTGTGCTCTGTGTGCTGTGTGTAATATTTTCCCTCCAGCTCAATTTTTAGATGTTGTTTTGGTAGTATGATAATGAAATTGATGAGTAAATCTATAATAAATCTGCCATGTAATGTATTTTATTTCATTTCTAATAGATTTTACTTATAAATCAAATAAAACACTATTTATAAAGTAATACAGGATTTTACAAACAGGACATTTTATATAATATGTCGCCTTTTCGCATTAAAAGTGTACAATTTCCAAAAATATTCGAAATTGAGTTAATATGCGTAAACATTTGGTATCACCGGTATTTTTCTCATATATACTGTCAAAAGAGCGTAGTTTAGTTTTTTTTTTTTTTTGTTTACTAATGTTTTGACTAGGTTAACAAAATTATTACATCATTTTATTTTACTATAAAAGACTGATAATGTAATTAGTAAAAAAATAAAAAAATAATGTTACAAAGATGATTAATATTAAAAATATTACATGTTAAGCCTGTAAAACACTCTCCTGTAAAATTAGTAAGTTTTGAGATTTTACAGTTTTAATGCGAGAAGGCGATGTATTGATTGATGAGAGATAAGCATCTTTAGGCAGCGGCTTGGCTCTGCCCTTGATATTGCTGAAGTCCATGGGCGACGATAACCACTCACCATCAGGTGGGCCGTATGCTCGTCTGCCTACAAAGGCAATAAAAAAAAAAGATAAAATTATTAAATAACTTAAAAATGCCAACTTTTTTCTAAATCCATTTCTTTTACTAATTAATTATTGCCGTTGTCTATGCTATTATTATCACGAGTCCTTATAAATGTGCACTGTGGACCTAAATTACTATAGCGACCTGGCATTCCCCTTTTATAGATATGTATAGAACCGCTTGTGTTCAAAGAAACTTAATGTTTTTAGAAACAGAACTACAGGTAGAGAAAAAAAAAAAATATGTACAGCCCGCAGGTAGACACCGCCCACATAGACACGGGGAACCACAGATTGTACGGAAGTGCGAAGTGCATTTAAATGCTCAGTTCAAATTGTTGTAATTTGTGAAAATTGTTTGTTTAATTAGTTCGGAGTCGTCCCAGTACTCGGACTGGGAGACCGGCGCCGCCCTCGCGCCCCCAGCGCGCGCCCGGCGGCGGCCCCTCCCCGCCGGCAGGTACCGGGGCGGACCGTCGCGCAACAAGCGGCCGCCGCCCCCCCGCAGCGAGGAGGGCGAGCCCCGGGACCGCAGTCCGGGCACCTCCGCGGGGGGCCGCCTGGAGCTGCCCGAGGAGTACCGCCCCGGCGAGTGGCTGACGGCCGTGTCTCCGCGGAAGGCTCCATACCATCCTCAGATGGGGGACCAGTGCTTATACTTCAAGCTGGTTAGTCTGCGTCACTGATGTACTATAAATTAGTCTTCCCTACTCGATTAAGTAATCTCCCTTCCCTCGATTAGTGCCATCAAAGAAGTTTAATTTCTATCGCGTGTACTGTGAACTACCCGCATGCTGTATTAATTATATAAATAGTTAGGTTTGACGATGTGCGTATCATCGTATGTATACGTATAATGGTACGATGTAACGGTTCCAGGGTCATCAGAAATACTTCGAGGCCGTGTCCGAGAAGGACGTGTACAAAGTGAATCCCCGGGACAAGCCGTGGGAGAGGACGCAGATATACGTAAGTGTCGCCCGGGGCGGGGGGAGGGGGGTGCTGGCGGCCCGACACGCTACAGAGTGTGATTGCCGGTAGGACTGCGAGCTGGTGAAGGTGGTGGGCGTGAAGTATGTGATCAAGCCGCCGCGGCTGGTGTGCCTGCGGCTGTCGTGCCTGGAGGGCGCGCGGCCCCGCTCCTTCACCGTCAAGTACCACGACATGGCTGACGTCATCGACTTCCTCGTCCTCCGCCAGCAGTTCGACGCGGCCGCCGCCAGGAGATGGAACGCGGGGGACAGGTCCGTACCGCTCGATCACTTAGCGTGTGTTTCAACTCTAACGTGATTATTATGAAATGGTTCTCCCCGCGCTATAGGTTCAGGTGTATGATAGATGACTCGTGGTGGACAGGCGTGGTGCTGGAGGGCGGAGTACCCGCGCCGGGCGACCTCGCCACAGAAGGGGCGCAGGCCTGGGGTGCCGCGGCCGCCGCTCACTTCTTGGCGCTACGGGTGCGCTGGGACAACGGAGAGGTCGAGAGACTGTCGCCCTGGGACCTCGAGCCGGTTGACCCGCACAGGTGTGTACAGACCGGGGGGACATACTACTAAAGACTCGCAGGCGATCACCAATGAATGTTCATGTGTGCAGACTACCNTGTCTGTAGCTGTACTACACTGTACTGTACTGTATTGAGTGTACTCGCAGTTCTACCGGCGCGCGGCGGCGGCGCAGTTCGACGTGCGCTACCTGGCCAGCAACGCCGAGCGGTTCAACGACCGCCACTCCGCCATCGTGCGCCAGGCGCGCCTGCTCACCGACCTGCTGCTGCACGTCATCGAGTGAGTAGCCGCCCCCCGCCCCCGCCCCCACTCACACCCCCCACTCACGCCGCGCCTGTCCGCAGGAACTGGCGCGAGGTGCACGTGCTGGACAAGTACCACGAGCTGGCGGCCAGCTACCACTCCTCCGACGACGAGCCGCTCGCCGTCGCCAAGGTACTGTGCAGCACGCACGCACGCACACGCGCAAGATGGGACCAGAACAGTAGTAGGGCACTACCCTCAGTAGTCCCTGAGGATCGAACTCTAAAAACCACGTTGCGTTGCCGATAAAAAAAAATTGGAGTTTACCTGGGAACACGCACACATAAACATACATACACGCACACATGCGTACGATTCACATATATATCACTAGTGGTAAAACTTGTGTGAGGGTAGGTACCACCGCCCTGCCTATAGAAGTGAAACTTCTTTAGAATCGTCATTTCAAACTCGATGAAACGAAAAAATAAATAAAGCGAATATGGTAAGCGTAGAAATGATACACAGTTTACGTTACAAAGTTACATTCACTTAAGTTTATTAGAAGGAGAAAGTTAGACACAGTTCACAGATGAAGAGTAGAACGGAAATTGAAGTACAGATCACGAAACAGCCAAACACAGGAAAAGGAAACAAATTTACAAACTTCAACTTTAAGCTAAACTTAAACGTTAAGTAAAACTATGCGCAAGCTCTGCGAAGCCGGTTAGGTAAAATAAGACAAGCATCCGACGGCAAGACAGGCTACGGACTGGTGGCCGCCCGATCGATAGGAAGACGCGGGGGATGTGCGCGCGCGCGGGGGGGGGCCGTTCGTAGCGCTTGCGCACGGTGCGTCATTGCTAACTATATATAAAGGATGTTTGTCACAAAAACAGACAATATTAAAAATCAATATAATTTCTAATATCGATGCATAAAAATTTATACATCGATATTAGGGTTATCTGTGTAACCACATAGTTACACTACATAAGTCCATAGTGCTTTTTAGTACAGCGCCATCTATGAGATTTTTTTAATACTAACGTGTGTATGAAACCTCTTGTAGTGAATTTTAATTTAGGATTATACATGAAGTTAAAATATCAATTCACAGAGGGTGCTTGATTGCTTGATGAATTTGAAAAAAAATCGATTAAACAACATTCTCAAACATACATATTGGACATCCCTTTTCTTGACGTATAAATTCGGTAATTCTCGGTACGGTTCGGAAAGTTCACCTGCGGCTATATTCAGACTCGCCAAGTTACGTCGCTCGTATTGTAATGAGCGATTTAGTGGGCAACTTCATTCTGTTAATTTTGTGTGTAAAATTTCACTCTCATAAATTTTTCATAACGCGCCTTAAGAAGTATAACTTCAAAAAGTATTTGAAAGTAACATGAAAACAAGAGCTAACTACCTAACATTCAGTGTCGGCGGTTGCAGGCGGGCGGCTGGCGGCGGTGCTGCGCGCGCGTGCTGCGGGAGCTGCTGGTGTCCCCGGACGCGGAGCCCTTCACGCGGCCAGTCTCCCTGCAGCAGGCGCCCGGTGCGTAAGCGCGAGTGTGACACCCCCCACCCCCCCACCACTACACCCTGGCATTGTACCCTCCTGCGCCCCGCAGACTACCACGCCGTGGTGTCGGAGCCGATGGACCTGGGCACGGTGCAGCGCGGCCTGGAGGCGGGGGACTACTCCTCGGCGGAGCAGTTCCTGAGCGACGTGCGGCTGGTGTTCGCAAACAGCAGGCTCTACAACACCAACAAACGGAGCCGGGTGAGTGACGTCACGCCTCGCTGCGAGGGTTCAATGACCCGCTGTACTTTAGTAAGGGCCGGTAGAGTAAGGGGACCGCCCCCCGGTAGTAGCGCTAGTCGCTGTAGTTGAGTACAGACAGGTGCGGGGCGGTGGGGGGGACGCCGGGACCGACACCCTCAATAATCATCGTCACATATGAAGTCGGCTCGCAGAGATATACGCGACAGGGATACTGTATTGAGTGTAGTGATTGTGAGAGATCAATTAAAAATTCATTAAAAGTGTACGGGCACTTCTACCTCTACCGTCTAAAGTAATTCGTTGTCCCGGAAAAATTGCCAACGGCTTCAGTCTTTCTAAATTACAAAATTAGCGCGGGCGAAACCGCGGGGCGCGACTATCTACAGCCATATTTATCTTTGTTGTTACTGTTGGGAGCCGCCCCCGGGGGTCCCGCGCGTCCCCTGTGGACCGTACGAGGTCGTAGCTTTATGCTTTAGCACCGTGAATAGCTTCTACATACATATAAACAGTTTGTCTGTTTGTACGCACGCAACACGTTACAGGACACGGAGAAGGTAACGAACGGCACTGTTTTATTAGCTCACACTGTCATTGTCATCTGCTAGACCATCCCCCCTCCCCCTACCCACCCACGCACGCTCTCCCGTCTCCACCTTCGCAGACAATAATTGACGTCTTATTAAACTACTAAACTCACTTATTTTCACATAAGATACATTTTCATTTCTATTGGAGAATATAACACCCGGCAACCCAGCGACTATAGTAGAATTATTTTGTCCGTGCCGTTTGGGTCATAAAACATAGCCCGGCTAGGAAGGAGGCGATAAAAACAAATGAGTCATCGAAGGCAGGTACACGGCGGGGGCGGTATATGAAGAGTGGGGAGACAATTGTTATGTTGAGTCATTTGTTGTACCTACCTGCAAATTATAGTACATATGTCGAAGAGAAATGTAATTTTGTGCATTCGCTCTCCGAATTTAAAATTTTTCACTGAAAAGAGAATAAATAGATCCCAAAAAGTTACAAAGTGTTAATTTCTGCCGTTCTCGTTAACTTGCTGCGATATGTGGTGTAAGTGTTCGATTAGTGATTTTTTTCTTTCACTTTTATCACTAACGTACAAAATAACAAAACTAAATATACTATCGATAACACTTATCGACAACAATAATGCGCATCACTATGCCCGTCCATAAGGCTCGTGAGTGGAAGAGAGAGCGAAATACTCGCTTCACCGCTCCGATTTTTTATGACCCAAACTGCACGGACAAAATAATTCTATTATAGTAGTCCGCCGAGTCCCTCAGAACACGTGCTACCGTTAAGAGGCTGCCGCCCAGTAATGAGTAATCCCCCGGCCCCCGGCCCCCGTGAGGACAGGTCCGCATGCAGGACCGATTACACGACGCTTTATTACTAAATAAATAATAGTTTAAAAAAACTAAAAAACACGCTTTATATAAAATTCAACTAAAAAATAGAAAATAAATTTTAATAAATTTAAATTGAAAATGTGTTCTACAAAGTCGTACTACATAATTTTATTCTATCATCAATAGTTCTCGCAGGGCACGCGATATAAATAATATTTTAGGTAATTTTTTTACCCCTTGCGTTACATTATTGGAGCTTTTGCAAGGATCCCTAATTAAAAAAATTATAATATAGCCTATGTCACTGAGGGATAGTGCAGCTTCCAAACAGTGTAAGAATTTTTCAAATCGGTTCAGTAGTTTCGGAGCCTATTCAATACAAACAAACAAACAAATCTTTCCTCTTTATAATATTAGTATAGACAAGCGGACCGCTCCGGCTCCGCTCGGGCCTTTAACAAAAATTTCAACGATATTTGACGTTGTTTTATTTTTTTAAATAAAGGAACACTTATTGCGGCATAACTATAATAGTCAGACATACGCTGTCGCACCACTTTTTGTAAATAATAATGTGTTCTACAAAGTCGTAGTACATTATTTTATTCTATCATAAATCGTTTTCGCAGGACACGCGATGTAAAGAATATTTTTGGTAATTTTTTCACACCTTGGGTTACATTATTGAAATTATAGTAAGAACCCTAATTTTTTGCACAAAAGATTATTGCTTATGCCACTCGGGAATAGTGTAGCTTTCAAACGGTGAAAGAATTTTTCAAATCGGTTCAGTAGTTTCGGAGCCTATTCAATACAAACAAACAAATCTTTCCTCTTTATAATATTAGTATAGATCAGTATAGACTAGCGACCCGCCCTCGCTTCGCTTCGGAAACATTTATTATTGATAGCTGAGTCTCGCGACGTTACCCGCGGTTATTGTCGTGCCGCGGGTGACGCCGCAGGGCGAAGCTAGTCTAAAAAAAGTAGCCTAAGTTACTCCTTATATCATCAGCTACATATCAGTGAAAGTTTCGTCAAAATCGGTCCAGCCGTTCCAGAGATTAGCCGGAACAAACAGACAGACAGACAGACAGACAAAAATTGTAAAAAATGTTATTTTGGTGTATGTACCGTATATATATATTCATATGCATGTAGTAAAAAGCTGTTATTTCATTATTACAAACAGACACTCCAATTTTATTTATATGTATAGATAATATAAGTGAACAGCTTGAAGGGATGACATTTGTTGTTACAGATATACTCCATGACGGTCCGACTGTCGGCGCTGTTCGAGGCGCTGTGGGTCCGGCTGGGACCCCGTGCCCCTCGCACTCCCCGCCGCGCCCCGCGCACGCGCCGGCCCCCCCGCGCACCCCGCACCAGGAACGAACACGGTACTCACCTCACACTAACTCTAAAGGGATAAAAAACATTAATAGTGATACGCGCTGGGGTTCGGGATAAATAAAATTTCACCAAAGTACAACCAACTACTTTTCACTGGTGGTAGGACCTCTGGTGAGTCCGCGTGGGTAGGTACCACCACCCCGCTATTTCTGCCGTGAAGCAGTAATGTGTTTCGGTTTGAAAGCAGCCGTTGTAACTATACTGAGACCTTAGAGCTTATATCTCAAGGTGGGTGGAGCATTTACATTGTAGATGACTATGGGCTCCAGTAACCACTTAACACCAGGTGGGCTATTAGCTCGTCCACCCATCTAAGCAATAAATAAAAAAACACTTTAAAACTCTCAATTCGCTTGTTCCGCTTCGCTACAAGTGATCTTTTCGCTGTTTCGCTTCGAGTAGTTCCGATTACTGACTGCGTGCCATCCCTACAACGCTTTTATAGCCGATACCTCATCCCTAGAATCATCGAGAATATTCCACACATCTCTAGTCGTAGTTCCCTGCTATCTGACAATAGATGGCGTTGTAATTCTCGAGCTTTCTAGATCATTCGATATTCGTTCGACTATTCGGCGATAGATGGCGTTACTCTTACCGGCGTAACAATAGTGTGTCAGACAAAATGAGACAGCCGCGGAGACCAACCCTCGCGTATCTAGTAGGACGGGACGTACCTGATGATACAAGCCGTCAGGCTACAGACGTGCCTCACGATAATACTACTGGCCATTCCCTCACCGCGTCCTAGCTCAGTCGGCCGCGGACCCCCGCGGGACCATTCTACTATAGCGAGGACTAGTAGGGAGAATGAGTGGTAGATAAAGACGACGGAACAGAGAGACCTTCTGCGCCACTTCGAGAAGGCAGGCGGCACGACATGAGAACCCTCTTGTCGTGGCCGCTGGAAATACATACCCGATCTTGTGGACCGAATGGTAAACAAAGCACGTCATTACGGATCCTCCTAATCCATTAACGGTGCTTTTAGGCACCACAAGCACCGGTCACCGTCCTCGTCGTACCCGTCGCTTGCGACGAAGGGCTCGACGAGCGAATTAACCCATAGACAGAGCCACTGAGTTTCTCGACGGATCTTCTCAGTGGGTCGCGTTTCCGATCCGGTGGTAGATTCTGCGAAGCACTGCTCTTGCTAGGGTCAGTGTTAGCAACACTCCGGTTTGAGCCCCGTGAGCTCATCTACACACGTTAGGGCGAATCTGAAAGGCTATCAGCATAGGTAGGAAAAACCATCCCCACCACCTCCCAACCCCAGAAACGTTGGAGAAGTTGTTTGAGCACGAGTGTCCTCTCCAGGGGAGCGGCGCGGCGAGAGCGCGGCCTCCGACTCCAGCTCCGAGCGTGACTCCTGGGACAGCGACGCGCCACTGCACAAGCACAGAAAGGGTGAGTGGGCCTCGCCGGTCACGCACTTAATAACATTGTTAACATCACATTACACGCCAACACGTGATCACATTATGTTTAAAAACCCTAAAACTTACACAGTTAAAGAGTGCCAGGACGAGGGCTCCAGGCTTCCGTCACAAGTCGGCCGCTCTTGTAAACAGGCGCTCGTCTAAAACATTACTGACACTGACGGCTGACACTTACATTGACAACTTTGTGACAGGCAAGGGCATCGGCAAGAAGAGCAAGCCCCCTCCCCCCGCCGCGGAGCCCCTTCCGGGGACCAGCAGCAGGCTCACGGACGACGGTACGTACGCGGCCCCGAGCGTGACGCGCGTCTTACAATGTTTACAGGTACTCACGCGTCGTTGTTTCCACAGAGGCGTACGTCCCCGAGCAGAACGGAGTCGCGAGCGGCTCGGACTCGGAGAGCGTGTACTCCAACATCGAGGTCGTGGAGGAGGAACTGGTCGAGGAGGACGTGCACCTCACCTACGACGAGGGCAGCGACCACCTCACCAGGGCCGACGGGGTGAGGCGCGGCTACACCCCCACAGGCTTAGTATACCCACCGCCGGTACAAGCTACAAACCGTCTCCGTGTTCACAGAGTGGCAGCAGGGGCAGCAGGAAACGTCGCAGGATCAGTTCGGGCAGCGACCGCAGCTCTCGGCGCAGGAAGAGGAAGGAACAGCACGGCAAGCGGTATGTCTAAACGTGCACGGAGCCCCAGGGCGGCTCCCCTCACTGCATTAGTGATCATTTCTAAGGCAGAGCATAAGGACTCTTGTAACCTTGCAATAAGGACACGATAGAACTCGCTGTGGAGAGCCAAGGGGTCAGAAGGAGGACCACCGTAGGACCTGCGGGGACGGACCCAATAGACATCACAGTATTTAGTCGCAGTGCACGAGTCGATCCTTCATCATGAGCGCATCGTGTTACCGTCTCCAGGGATGCGGACCGGTCCGCCAACATACGTTTTAAAATGTGACTTTAAAATTCTCCGTGACTGTACTCTGGTTTGTCGTTAGTGTGTCGTGTGTGCCTCCGCAGGGTCCGGGAGCGGGTTGTCGCGGCGTCCAGCTCGTCGTCCTCGTGGGGGTCGGCGGAGGGGGAGGAGGGGGGCGCCGAGGGGGGACACTACGAGTCGGACCGCTCGTACCGGCCGCGGTTCGAGTCCGACGATGACGCGCCGCTGCACCTCTACCGGTAACGTGTCCGCTGCGGGGACTGAGGGGGGGGGATACACCTTGCCTTGCTCCGCGGTACATAAAAGGCTCTGTGTTCGATGAATGACAGCACTTCAACTAATTCACTAGAACGGAATATTATAAATTGAGCTTAGTCACGCTTGTTCTTTTCTCTGTCTCTTCTCTCTGTCCTCTCTCTTTATGTCAGCGTACAAACATTCACTTTAACGTAGGGTTTGTTTAATATTAGTCGTATCCCATTTGGGAACCCGTGATCCAAGTCAAGGTGCCGTCCTAATACAATAGAGTTAGGGACCCCCCCCCCAGCTCCAGTGTGATGTGTGACCCCCTGCAGGCGGCGCGCGGGCGGCGCGGGCGGGGAGCAGCCCGGCACGTCGCGAGCGCAGAACGGACACGCGAGGGTAAGTGGACGCGACACTACTGCAGCACACCCCGGGGAGCCCCCCTCTACAGAGCGCCCCCTGTCCGCAGGCCTCGGGCTCTGGCGTGTCGCTGCGGTCGCGCCGGTCCCCGCGCCGCTACAACGAGGACAGCGAGGACGACTCCGCCGCCGTCATCAGCAAGCGCTCCCAGCACCACCACCGCGCCAGGACGCAGGTACCGACCCGCCCCGCACTCAGACCATACAGACGATCGAAGCGTAAACATCTGACCGGTCACTCGTTACTGTAGCCCATGGGCAACCTAAACTGTAGACTCTGCTTCAAACTTTACTGGTGGTAGGACCTCTTGAGTCCGCGCGGGTAGGTACCACCGCCCTGCCTATTTCTACCGTGAAGCAGTAATGCGTCTCAGTCTGAAGGGTGGGGCAGCCGTTGTAACTATACTGAGATCTTAAAACTTATATCTCAAGGTGGGTGGCGCATTTACGTTGTAGATGTCTATGGGCTCCAGTAACCACTTAACTCCAGGTGGGCTGTGAGATCGTCCATCCATCTAAGTAATAAAAAAAAAACAAAAAAAAAACCGGAACGTGTTCTAACGATCGTATAATCGATGTTCACGGGGGCTCGTGTTCGCTCACGCTGTGTTGTTTGTCGCAGAGCGCGGCGCCGCACGCCACGGACCACGACTACTACAACGGACACGCGTCCGACCACAGCGGGCTCGGTACGTCACTGCCACTTTACTACTCTCTGATGACTCCACTACATCCAGCGGGCACTACACCTGCTATCCCAGTTCGATTCGTTGACCCAGAGACGTCTTAATGTAAATAATAGTTCCTGAGATTTGCAGTGGGGTGTGAACTTGCCGGCGCCGCACCGGGCGGGGGGCGTTGGGGGGGGGCCCGGGGCGTGCTCGGAACGGTCACCACTCGCCGCTCTCGATATTGTAATTGTTACCGTTGTGACGTTCAGTGGTCACCGGAGACCTCAAGACGTGAGACTACAATTTTCCAACAGTACCGTGATACGGACACTAAATCCGTCCGGACCAGTAATGTAAGCACGTTGGCACAGCAGCGGTTGGCGCAGTGTCCGTGTCGTCCCGGGGCAGGGTCCGCAAGCTGACGGCCAAGGCGCGCGGATTGCTCCGGGAATAGCAGCGGCCGTCTCCCTCCTCCTGGTGGCCGCGCCGCTAGCGGGGGGGCGGGGGGGGCGCGTGACGTCAACACTCACTGATACGTGAGATTATTTCTGTTTGTCGCGGCAAACGAAACTATCTGTTCATGTGGTTATTTACTGATATTAATTCATTTCACGACACGTGAGCGCGCGTGAGCCCGCGGATGGTACACCCATACAGAACAGTAAACGCGGCTTGTAGATATTTCGTGTGTACAATGAATTTGTTGCTGTTGACGATCAAAATCAGGCGAGACACACACTTGTAATTTATAAACACAATAAGCCATTTCTTAAACGAATGTGTCCTTTAAATTGTTCTATCGAGGAGCCCGACTCGACTGTGAGCCTTGTGCCCCGGGAATAGAGTCGAGAACTGTTCGGATCTAGTATTTGGAATCTCAGACGCTCGGAGTTGTCAACGAGCGACATCCGACGTTATGGCTCCGTCGTCGACGAGAACTGTACAAGTAACTGTAAAGTAAATGAATTGTTAATTATTGTGTCGGCTGCGGCGCGGGGGGTTGGGGCGGGGGGACAGTGCGCGCGCGTGTGACGACAGTACGTCAAGTCTGGAACAACGAGCTTACTGCGTCCGGTCGCACTGTGGTGCGGGGTCGTTGAACTGTGTTCTGTACTTGTGAGATCATGTAAATATAGTTTTAAGAGGAATTGTTTGTGTGTCTGTCTGTGTGTGTGCGACGTAGAGTATCACACCGAGCTACGAATAAATATATTTTGTAAAATAAAGTAGTTTTATTTGTCGTCGAGCGTCGGCTGCTGCGGTATATGTCTTAAGTACTTAGGGCGAACCTGAAGTAACCTCTCAAGGCTATCAGCATAGCAAAAAAAAAGAAAAAAAAAGTAACCTACATGGGAAAGATTTTTTGGACATTTTTTGGATACACGTTCTTCATAAAGTGTAATCCATACAGTTGGGAAACGAATTAGATAGTGTCGGCGGGCGGCGCGGACCTCGGGCCCCCGAACCCGTGCAGTTTGCGCACTCAAAGAAATTGAGAGATTATGCAGCTGGCATCAACAATATAATATTAACCAATGATCCTCACACTAGACATAGCCTGTATCGTGAGGACCAAAATACGATTTATTATGTATATAATCGACCTCAAAACGACATCACTATTGTTAATAATTATAACACTCAAAAACATGCGTTACAAGATATGACATATAATAAAAATTTTGAGTAATAAAAATAACACATCAAATATTATTACACATATGTGGGGAGCGTAGACTTAAACAAATATAACATAAATTAATAGGAAAAAATAAACAAAAAGATACAAAACTAATAAATCTAGTGCTATTTTTTGTTTTTAAGTTCTCTGTGTCCGTATAGTTCAATGTTAACAACCATTTTTTCATTCGTGGTTTAGCTTGCCTGATCGTTTTGTGTTTTAGGCTTAGAATAATTACACATAGAAACCGAGTCCGCCTTCGTAAAGTGAGGCAACTCAAACCTAGCCATATTTTGGCTAAGATCGGAAAAACACAAGAAAGATAGTAACATTACATTTCACGGGTAAGTAATGCGTTTGAACGTATATTTTTACGTAAAACATTCATCAAAATGAAAAATAAATTTCAATAATTTGTAATGCCATAGTTTATGAATATGTTGCCAACACGGGGAAATACTCTCACACATTTTGTTGTTTAATTAAAAGTGAAATACGTCTCAATTAGGTAATTAAAAGCGCTTTTTTTTATTAATTGATTAATAAAGAAACTGAGACAAAAACACAACAAGCTCGCATACTTATAATAATAATATGTAATTTTATGTTTTGGTTTGGTTTTAGGTTTCCTTCCTATCATCAAAGCGACAATTGTTCAGAAAACAGTTGCAGCTGTTACAAGGGTACTGAAATAAATAATTATACTTATTTGTTTTTCTTTCTCATAAGTGTTCTCACCTCGATCACTAAGATCCGTATCTATTTATAGACAAGTTATAACTTGGAACATGACTTTTCTCTACAATTCTGGCTCTTTATTTGTTTGAGTATAAAATATTTTCTTAGGTCATTCCTTAAGCAAAAGTAACTACTTTGCTTGACTACGGATACAGACGTAAACTAGAACGCTTCTAAGTGAATTAGAATATTCGCGTGTTTTTTGTAAGTTACACTATTATTAAATAAAAAACCGCCTTATAAAAAATGCCACTAAAAATTAATTAATAATAGCTGTGTACAGCTTGTGTACCAAATGTGTACCAAATAACGTAAGTATTTTGAAGTAGGTCGTGTGGTGGCGGGTTTAAACAAAAAACAAAAAATTGTATACAAGTTTTATTTTCATCATGCAGGCAATATTCGTGTATTCTGGTAAATAAGTACGTTAGATTATTTAGGATTTTAACAAAACGGGTCACTACCGAGCAGTTTCGATAGACGAATTGCACTTATATTTAACTCCTAATCGTTTAGGGGATCTATGGGCCTTGTCATCAGTTCAGCAGTAATAATTGATGAGTTCCAAATAAATAAAAGGTGTAATCTAATAATCACATTTGTTCTGTGATCACAAGTAATAGTTTCAACTTCCCTGTTTTTAGAGAAATTGGCAACATAATTTTTTTCACTGTGTGCGTTTCGTCGAGCGTAAATACAAGTACCTTACGCACACATAGATTATATTCTTGCCTTGCTTTTGACAGACCGCTTTGAAGAGGACTATCGTTCTATGTGTAATTATTCTAAGGTTTTAGGTTAGACGTTGAGGGCGAACGCGTCCGTGTACGTACATCGCGGGCACGTCTTGCGAAACTCTCTATTTACGTTATTATAATGATGCACACTTGTTCTGCGTGCGGATATGCTTCGGCAGCAAAATTAAGGATTTAAGTCGACGTCGCCTTAAACACGTCAATACAGATCCTCCCGATCCATTAACGATGCTCTTAGGTACCTCAAGCACGGGTCACCGTCCTCGTCGAACCCGTCGCTTGCGACGAAGGGCTCGACGAGTGAACTAACCCACAGACACAGCCCATTGAGTTTCTCGCCAGATCTTCTCAGTGGGTCGCGTTTCCGTTCCGATTCTCTCAGGTTGAGCCGGTGAGCTCACCTATCAGAGCGTAACTGACCTAGCCTCCTAGGCTACCAGCAAATAGTTAGGTAACAAAAACAGTACCCAGTATAGATAACTATAAAGGGACGGCTTCTCATTGTGCTAAGTTCACGTCACACCTCACCGCGCTTGCAGTGCATATCGGAACATAGCCGAAGTGTGGTATTTTAAGGCGCTGTTTTTAATATCTCTCCGCACGCTACTGTGGCGCCAGCTTAGCTTCCTTTCAGCCGGCACTTTTTAATACACTGAGATGGTACTACATACTTAGTTCCACCCTTCATATACTGTAAGTAAGTAGTACCAGGTGGGATGCCAGCTCGTTCACCCTGTTCATGCTTTGGGGAAATACGACAAAGGGCAAATCTTCAGCCGAGCGGACTAAATTACTCGGTAGAGCGATGGTCAAAATCCAAACTTTTATTTAAAAAATAAAAAATTTCATTTGCATGATTCATGCATCTGTTGTATTCTATAGTAGTTTTCCAATTACAGCACAAGAGCGCATTATGCGGCATATTGCTCAACTAAGCTTCAGCACAATTCGGCATTGTGCGTCACTGAGTCGCATTATGCTCTGTAATTGGAAAACTACCTATGATAACTACCGTCACAACGCTAAAAGTTTAAATTATTCTGAAAATCCTGATGCTACCACCGAGAATACAATTTTTGCAAACCGTAGATCCAATGGACTCCGCAGTGACAAAAACTGCCCGAGCCACAGTTCCCGGTATGATCATGAAGTTTTGCAATCGGTGTGTGGTAAGTTGAAAAGTGACAAGTTCTTTATTTTTTATGCATAACTGTGGTGTGAAAATAAATTGTTTGTATTTCTTTGAATATATAATGTGGCCTAAACATAGAACGGCGTGCTTAATATCTAAGTGAAATAAAGTATCTAAACTGGTTTGGTAATTTAAATAAACTAACTTACTGAAAATCAAATAAGCTAAAAGGTCAGGTAGCCAGTAGCCGTCAGCCGCGAAGCCGTCGCAAACAAAACACGTCATAGAATTAAACAAAAGTAAAAAATCGCAATTGAAAATTATCGAAATCTAACTTTTTCATTGATACAAAAAAAAGTGTAAATTTAATTAGATAGTAATTTATAGTCTAGTCCATTCAATGTACAAATTAATGATTTAAAATTAAAACTAGTTTAGATAAAATCATTAATAACGTGGATCTACAAACGGAAACCGTGGGTGTGAAATTAAAGTTTTAAAATATTGAATTCTATAGTTCAATACCTACCAGGAATCGTTAAGCATGGCATCGCTGGTTCCTGAAGAAGAGGAGATGGGCATATTAGAACAGTACGCTAAGTACAATCCCGTAACATTTCGTAAGTTGATGTTAACCAAATCTTTATAGCAATAAAGACGTTTCTAGAAAAACTTGGTGCATAGAACTGTGTCGAGCCATCTTCAAAGCCAACCTCTCTTAGTTTGTCATTAATAAACGCAACATCTATAACACGAGTACTCAAAACACCATCAGACGGCACTGGCAGAGATTGTGAAATTGTCAATAGACTTTAATTATTTAAAACACTTCAGCACTGTCTGGCGAAGACATATAAAATCCATTAAGTTACAGAAAATGGAGTCATTATCTTAGTACTGTTGATATTTAATACATAGTTAAATGCATATGCAATAATATTTCAGTGTTCGAATTCCTAGCTGCGTATGGTTGGTATGTGGTAGGAGCTATTGGATTGGCGGTGCTTGTCTACAAAAAGTTGAAGCCTGCATTTGACAAATACAACCTGATTCAACAGGATGCGGGCCATCATAAAGGTACATTATACTGTTGTCTAGATGTCAACTCTTCACACTATGAATGGTAGTATTAAGTATTAAGTATAGTATTAAGCGGTAGGCAGCGGCTTGGCTCTGCCCCTGGCATTGCTGAAGTCCATGGGCGACGCTAACCACTCACCATCAGGTGGGCCGTATGCTCGTCTGCCTACAAGGGCAATAAAAAAAAAAAAGGTGGCATTACAGGCTAAGTCAGGAGAGCAACCAGTCTGTGGTCTACTGCAGAGCAGCCTCCTTAAATCCTGTCTGAAGAGGAATAAGACATAGGATTAAGTAATTCATTCCAAAGTTTGATGCTAAAGAAATGAAAAAGCTTTTGTAAACTGTTTGCACATTTTTTCAGTAGATTAGTTAGCTGGGATGAACTTCACAACAGCGAGGAGTGGTGTAATGATAAAAATGACACAATTTAAATACTAGGGATAAGAATAACAATTAACATTTTGAGAAAAGGTACAATACTGTAATCCTCTTGTGGCCAACTTAAATGATATACTCGACCCAGACTTTGAGGAACACACAGCCACTGTTGACCTACATTTCTCATTTCGGTTCAATCTACTTTTAGTGCTTTTAGGTACTTCAAGCAGTAGTCAACCCTCTCACAAGCTTGAAATGCAACCTAGCCTATAGACAAAAACCACTAAGTTTCTCACCAGATCTTCTCAGTAGGTCACCAGATCTTCTCAGTAGGTCACAAATCCGATCTGGTGGTAGATACAGCAAAGCTCTGTTCTTGCTAGGGTAGATGTGAGCAACCTGACTGACATGAGCCCCATAGACTCACCCAACAAAAACGTTGAAGCCAGAATGGCCTCTTGATGCCACAGACTTGTGTGCAAAAAATAACAATGAACAGAATGATCATCCATTCATGACTAAGGGTGTTGTTGTTCAATCCCTGCACAATATTAACTTTTAATTTATAGTTTCATAATCCTTCGATGACTCATAGGCTTTGAGAATAATGATCAAATTTCCTCTGGAGCGTGTACTGATTAAGTCATAATGCTCATCGGACTTTGTGATTGCTGGCTATTATAACACATTCTAGTTGTATAGATCCGGACCGGGAACTGTCCCGCATGGAAGCAATCCAACGAGCTAGAGAAAAACAACAGCAGCTATTAGAGCAAGCATCACAGCGAGCACTTGAAGCTCAAAAAGAGGTACTTTTATTATACATTATAACATTGTCACGCAAAATGTATGTTTGTTACTTTGTCTACATGATTTTACTGTATATCACACATTAACAGTGTGCACACCCACAAGGAGTCAACTTGATAGAATAAAACATAGTTCTCGTGCGAGAATAAACTAAAATTAATATTTAATTCACAAACGTTCGAATATCGTCGTGGCCTAAAGGATAAGACGTCCGGTGCATTCGTATGTAGCGATGCACCGGTGTTCGAATCCCGCAGGCGGGTACCGATTTTTCTAGTGAAATACGCACTTAACAAACGTTCACGATTGACTTTCGCGGTGAAGGAATAACATCGTGTAATAAAAATCAAACCCGCAAAATAATAATTTGCGTAATTATTTGGTAGGACCTGTTGTGGGTCCATATGGGTAGGCAGCATCACCCTGCCTATTTCTGCCGTGAAGCAGTAATGCGTTTCGTTTTGAACGGTGGGGAAGCTATTGTAACTATACTGAGATCTTACAACTCATATCTCAGGTTGGCTGCTTTTACATTGTAGATGTCTATGGGGTCTGGTAACCTTAAAATTAAACTTAAAATTAGGTGGGCCAAGAGCTTGTTCGTCCATCAAAGCAATAAAAAAAAGATGTGTCTTTATTTATTAATTGTTCTTATTTCTTCTTCTTCTTTAGAAGAGGTTGATATTGAAACAAGTGGTGAATGTGGTCAAATTAATGTGATCAAAATTAAAGTTCTCAATAATTTTGACTCAATAAAGGGATGAAATATAATATCTAAATGAACAAGGAAATTCCTCAGTAAATGTTAATAAATAATAAAACGTAGTAGTAGTATTACTATTAAGTAATTTTGGGTCACATTTATCTTTAATATTGAATGTTATGTTTGTGTTTTAATAATAAATTTTATGATAAATGAATAGCAAACTACTCAAAGTCTGTGAAAGTTGTTTCTTTAGTTCATTACCATAGCTTTACTCGTCAAGCTTCAAGCTCTACTCTGTTCTTTACAGCGTGAAGAACGCAAGAGAGCAGAGAGGGCAGAAGCACTGGAGAAGTATGGGGCAGCAGTCACCGGCAGGAAGCTTGGTGGCTCCGATGACGGTGAGACACTTGTCTATATATATATATAAAAATGAATTGCTGTTCGTTAGTCTCGCTAAAACTCGAGAACGACTGGACCGATTTGGAAGGGATTTGGAGAGAAGAAGATTTGGATAGAGAAGGTTTAAAAGGTAGATAAATATGAAAATGCTCGGAATTAAATAAAAATAACAATTTTGTTTTTCCTTTGATGTGTGCCCCCTCGGACGAATTCCTTTTGTTTGTTTTAAGTTTATTTTATACAAAACATTAGGTCTTTTATTTATCGATTGAGGCACTACGAAGTCTGCCGGGTCAGCTAGTCTATGAATAGAAAGAAGAGGGCGGTTATTGTCTATTGCTTTACATGACATGTTGTCACTAACTGACACGAATGTTTCCAGGCTACCTTCCTCTCAGTGGAGGAGCTTCAGCCTCCACGTATCGACCCCCGAAGAAATCGAAATGTTCCGGAGGAGGATGCGGGAAATAAACATCATATCGTCCAACATCACGTAGCCGAAGCGCAAGCAAACTACTTGTCGAAGTGAATCAGAGGGGGAGGGGGGAATAGTCACACTACAACCACTACTTCATTGCCGTTTCGGTGCCGGGAGGGCTCACTATATAGAATGGATATACATTCGACGCTTGAAAGGCAAACGTGACTAAGCCACAATAACTGCTTTGTACATAAATGATAGGCAATAACCATATTCGATGCGCAAAAAATATATATATTTCTAGGTCTATTAAAATCATTTCAATCCTACAGATTGAACAGATTCGTTAAAATAGAATTGTTTTCAGGTATTTCAACTTGAAATTAGTCTACTGTAAAGTTCACGCATTGTCGCTTAGTCACGTTTGCCTCGCAAGCGTTGATATATTAAAAAATCTGGGTTTTTTTTTCTTTAACATTGTCTATATGTACTAAAGTAATTCGGAACTATTATATAATAAAATTAATAGTAAAAACAGGGTGTTTTTGTTGCAAACAGTCACCAAGGATGACTCCTCGTCGTGCCGCGTGGAGCAGGACCCTCTGTGGTCTGCAAGTGCAGTAATCCGTCTCTTCGTTATAGGGACGCTGCAAGATGTCCCTATGCCGTTGATGCTTGAGACACAGGATCAGTGCGCTGGGTCTCCGGATGCTATGTATGATGGTAGAGCAGCTCTGTAACGCCGTCAACCCGAACTAGTGTGTTAAAAAGTAAATTAAATCTAATATTAACACGTTGCAGCAGCTAGGTAGGGCTCCGACAACTAAATACGCAAATATACTTTTAAGAAAATACTTTAATTATTGGAATTAAATAAAATTTTGTATTCATAGTTTCAGAAATTTTTGTTTTTCATATTTTGACATAATTTACTTTAAAGTAGCGCCATCTAGTAGCAACGAATAAACATGATCATCCAAAGCCTAGAACGAGTTCAATATTTCAAAAGCTGGATAACAGATGGCGTTACTACATCGTAAACCAGAACATGTTTCAACAAGATGCTTTATAATTCACCATTCTGCCTATTTACGCTGCGAAGCAGTACATATGGCATCCTATTCGATAGATGGAACAGCCGTTATATAAAACAGTCGACGTCGCCCCAAACACGTCATTTCGGATCCTCCCGATCCACTAACGGTGCTTTTAAGTACCAGAAGCACCGGCCACCGTTCTCATCGAACCCGTCGCTTGCGACGAAGGGCTCGACGAGTAAATTAACGCAGAGACACAGCCCACTGAGTTTCTCGCCGGATCTTCTCAGTGGGTCGCGTTTCCGATCCGGTGGTAGATTCTGCGAAGCACGGCTCTTGCTAGGGTTCGTGTTAGCAACGTCATCGGTTTGAGCCCCGTGAGCTCACCTACTAGTCAAGGCGACGCTGATATAGCTTCTCAAGGCTACTGCGAAGCACGGCTCTTGCTAGGGTTCGTGTTAGCAACGTCATCGGTTTGAGCCCCGTGAGCTCACCTACTAGTCAAGGCGACGCTGATATAGCTTCTCAAGGCTATCAGCATAGGTAGAAGAAAAAAAAAAAAAGCTCTGATGCAGTATTACGGCTCACAACCCTGTGCCGGAGGGTCCGGACGCGTTCGGGCTGTGGCACATGAGACGAGAACTTGCCCAAAACTTAAATATTAGCGCTCACAGTCAAACCGACTGTTAATGTATTTTTTGTTCGTAATGGTGTATTATTGCCCAATCCAATGACGTCGGGCCGCCAGAGAGCTGGTAGACCCTGCGCGGCGTGATGAGAGGACACGCTGCGCTGACGTCACATGCGTCACATGTGGGTTAAGGACCAGAGGAAAAGCAATGTGGTTTTATTGCCTTCAGGGGCAAAACAACTTACTGCCTTTCTGATACTAAGTAATAACCGTCGCTAGTGGATATGGAGGTATAGCGACGGACAGAAGATCTTCCACCGAACGGGTGATATTGCTCGGTAGACCGACGGTTCGAATGTTGGTGTTCGGAACTTGTATATATGCAAGCTTATCTTGAAAATGTCGTAAGCGAGATTCAGGCGTCTGTCAAATATCTTGCGTTGTATGATGGATATCCGCCGCAGCGGGAACCCAGTACGTGTCAGCCTCACGCGGCCGGCTGCGGCAGCAAGGAGCGCCCGTCGGGAGACAAACTACCACACTAATTAAACAATTTCAATTTCAAAAGCGACAGTTTTTTTTTTTTATTGCTTAGATGGGTGGACGAGCTCTACAACGTAAATGCGCCACCCACCTTGAGATATAAGTTCTAAGGTCTCAGTATAGTTACAACGGCTGCTCCGCCCTTCAAACCGAAACGCATTACTGCTTCACGGCAGAAATAGGCAGGGCGGTGGTAGCTACCCGTGCGGACTCACAAGAGGTCCTACCTCTAGTAATTAAGTAAATTATAATTTTGCGGGTTTGATTTTTATTAGACGATATTATTCCTTCGTGTCTAGTCAATCTATATCTATACTAATACTAGCTGACCCGGCAAACGTTGTGTTGCCTTAAATAAGATTTCTAGGGAAATTCTACTGTAGAAAAAAAACCCTCATTTAACCACTTATTACCTCATTATAAACAAAAAATATATATCCAAAAAATAAAAAAATAAAATAAATGTTTGGGGTGGACAACCCTTTTCACTTAGGGGTATGAAAAATAGATAGTAGCCGATTCTCAGACCTACTGAAAATACTATTGATACACAAATAAAACCAAAAAAACATGGCTGAAAAATGTATAGTATTGTATAGCTCTCAAATATATTAAGTGTATAATCTATGATGTATAGTGAGTAAGTAAGACAGGAGACCGGCTTCGTCCTCATCCCTACTACGTGATGTTTGCTGGATGAGTGGTGACACCTGGCGGGGATAGCTGATCGATTGATAGTTGATCAGTAGTCGACCGGCGAGGGCGGGAGATCAAATTCAATTTAAAAAAAATCATAATTAAAGGAACTTGAAATTATAAACTCTGAATAAGAATTTATCGTACTACAATTATAATATTTGATTGCCATCTTGCAACCTTATTGCGGATCTGTGCATAGAATAAAAAAAATATTAATCGGGATGGAAAAATAGGGGTTGATCGTATAAGAGTGAAAATTGAGAGTAATATGATTTTTTTTATTTTAAGTCATGACAAAACAAAATAAAAAACTTGCCAAAAAAATTAAAGTTTATAATTAACAAATAAAAAATAGGGGTTGATCATAGAGGGATGAAAAATTGAGAGTAACATCAGATTTTTTATTTTAATTCATGACAAAATAAAAATAAAAATGAAAATCTTGCCAAAAAAATTAAAGTTTATAATTAACAAATAAAAAATAGGGGTTGATCATAGAGGGATGAAAAATTGAGAGTAACATCAGATTTTTTATTTTAATTCATGACAAAATAAAAATAAAAATGAAAATCTTGCCAAAAAAATTAAAGTTTATAATTAACAAATAAAAAATAGGGGTTGATCGTAGAGGGGTGAAAATTTCAGAGTAATATGAATTTTTTTATTCTACGTCATGACAAAATAAAAACAAAATTCTCGCAAAAAAATTTAAAGTTTTTAATTAGCAAATAAAAAATAAGGGTTGATCGTAGAAGGGTGAAAATTGAGGATTGTATGTATTTTTGTATGTTGTATCATAAAAAAATAGAAATTAAAAATTTTGTCTAAAAAATAAAAATAAAAATTTAGGGGTGGACTACCCCTAACATTTAGGGGGATGAAAAATAGATGTTGGCCGATTCTCATAGATACCGGATAAGCACAAAAAATTTCATCAAAATCGGTCAAGCCGTTTCGGAGGAGTATGGCAACGAAAACTGTGACACGAGAATTTTATATATTAGATTATAAAGAGGAAAGATTTGTTTGTTTGTTTGTTTCGAATAGGCTCCGAAACTACTGGACCGATTTGAAAAATTCTTTTTCCATTAGAAGCCGACATTGTCCCTGATGAACATAGGCTACTTTTTTAAAAAAAAAATTTTTTTTATTTTTTTGGTTTCATGTATGTTTTAATTTTTTTTTATTTTTTTTATTGCTTAGATGGGTGGACGAGCTCACAATGTTTCCGAAGCGAAGCGAGGGCGGGTCGCTAGTCGTGAATATTTGTGGAGTACGTATTTCATTAGAAAAAATCAGTCAACGAGAGAGAGACAGAGAGATGTAACGGCGTTACGCAACAAACCGAAGCCCCTCACTGAAATCTATTGATTGACTAATTATATTGAACATTCGGTGCAACCCGTAGCTTCGTGACGAATTATCTAGAAAGTTTCAAACTTTGTCTTTTTTCACGGTTTTCAATAGAGTTTTTTTTTTTCTTTTCGTTTCGTTTTGTATTGGCGCTTCGTCAACAAACCAGTTAGGGTCCCGGCGAGCAACACTGCTGATAGCCGCAACTTGGACATCAAATGGAATTGGAAATCAAATAATTAAACGAACCCCACCTCAGCTCACAGCGGAGCGCTCTTTTTGGATGGAGACATTGCTGGTGGTGGCTGACAAGCTGGTCTAGAGCGAGGCGGACCTGGGCGGCACCACCCCCGGGAGCCCCGCTGACGACGGCTCGAGCGCCCTCGGGACCTAACAGTCCGACAGCTTCTTTGAGAATAATCTGAGCGGTGCACACGAGGGCATCGCGGTGTAAGCACTTGGAGGACACAGCACCTTCCCACCGGTCACATTAAGAGGCGATGGTAAGCAAGAAATAGGGTAGGAGAAGTTGAGCAGAGGATACTGCCGCGGCGGTAGCGCTCTAATGTACACAATACATTATGATAATACGGAACCTTATTACTGAATGTTGTTTTCCCGCGGTGATATCGTTTAGAAAGCTAAGTGTCGCGGCCGTGACGGGCGACTTGCGACACAAATCGATCGCGAAAAAATCTCTGCAGGTTGATTGAACTAACATCTGGCTGAGCCGAAACTACGTGGTTCTATGGCTTCATCTCGCCTGTATTCAATTAATAGTTTTATTCATTAAAATCGCAAAAATGTGAATTCCAATCAAATTGAATTGAACTCCATCATCGTCATTATCCACTAGACGTGACCGTCGACACACAGACACACACACACACACACACACACACTAAGTTAAGTGCTTATTATTTGTACTCATCTATACTAATATATAAATCTACAGTGGTTTTTACGGATGTTCCGTTATAACTACTGAACCATGCATCCGATTGACTTGAAACTTGGTATCCATGTAGAAAATACATGTACTTAATATGATAGTACATGATAAGCTAATATTTATAAGTGTTGGACTCCCTACACCAGTTGCGGGGGCGTTAATGATGAGAATCTTTGTGGAGGTGAGAAATAATAATGTTAATTTTAAATGCCCAGCGAAGCGGAAGGGTTAAAAAGCTAGTTTACTTATATTTCCCTCTTTCCTCCCTCCAATGAAGCCGAGGTACAACTAATTGTCATGATCAATAATTACTTACGAAGAAACTCATTCATTGTCGTAAGTGGCTGCCACCAGCATCACCTCCTAGTTCCTACCGGCAGACAGCGGAGCGTGAATCGACCCCGGGACGTCAGACGCGGAGTGGTGTTACAGATCAAATCAGCGAGCTTTTAACGTTCTCGATAACGTAAAAGTTAACTCAAAATTGTATGGAATTGAAACGTTTTCCTACGTTTGCCGCTAGGGACGCTGTTTCAACTGCATACGAATTTGAGTTAATTTTTACCCTATCGAAAACGTTAAAAGCTCGCACTAAGCACACTGTGTTAATGACTCTGCATACCGTCGGCAGGACGCAGGACCCCGGTATATTTTTTTCTGCTTAAATGGTGGACGAGCTCACAGCCCACCTGGTGTTAAGTGATTACTGGAGCCCATAGACATCTACAACGTAAATGCGCTTTTCTTTTTCCTACCTAAGCTGAGCCTTGAGAGGCTATATCAGCGGAACCTTAACTAGTAGGTGAGCTCACGGGGCTCAAACCTGACGTCGTTGCTAACACGAACCCTAGCAAGAGCCGTGCTTCGCAGAATCGACCACCGGATCGGAAACGCGACCCATTGAGAAGATCCGGCGAGAAACTCACTGGGCTGTGTTTGTGGGTTAATTTACTCGTCGAGCCCTTCGTCGCAAGCGACGGGTTCGACGAGAACGATGACCGGTGTAAATGCGCAACCCAACTTGAGATATAAGTACTAAGGTCTCAGTATAGTTACAGTGCAGTATAGGTACGTGAACACTTTTTAAGTACGTATTTCATTAGAAAAACTGGTACCCGCCTGCGGGTTTCGAACACCGGTGCATCGATAGATACGAATCCACCGGACGTCTTATCCTTTAGGCCACGACGACTAAGATGCCGAAGACCGGGTTTAGTGGAGGAGCTTAAGTTGGAAAGCGGACCCTTTCAGGGTCTAGTGCCAGGGCACTTGACCTGGAAAACTCTAGGAAGAAGAAGAAGAAGATTGGTAGCAGGGTGGGGGCGGGAGTGGTGGTAGAGAAGACTGGTGACGTAGTATTGCAGGTTCAACGTGGCGAAATTATATAGTGGTGTCCATGTGTTCTTGTAACCACTTAGCATCAGGCGGCCCATACATCCACTAGTGCAATAGATAAACACGTCCGTGACCCGACCGGCACGTCTCGTGCGGTGGCCCCTGGACCCCAACCCTCACTAGTGAGTGACCAGTGACTGACTAGTCGAAGAATTAAAAGAAAAATGTTTGTGCAAAAAAAAATGGTGCCCGTATGTAATGACCGTAACTATATTTTTCGAAAATATAAAAAAGTATCAATTGAGTTCCTTTTTAAATCAAAAATTTATTTAAATTGTATTCTATTTATGATTTAAAAAAATGTTTTAGAATTGTAGCAGTTAGACAGTTCTGCAGTAAGCAGTAATTCATAAAAAGGCTCATTTAATTTTATTGTAAGGACATCTCCGTACATTTACGGTCTATTCAATATGATTAACAAGTTAAACTAATATTGTAACTGTTAAATTATTATTTGAAATTTAAACAGAGACACTAGAATCATTTAATATGTTATTAAAAACGATTATTGCACAGTTGATTAGCTGTCAGAGCTGTCAACGACTTGAGTACATCGCGATACGGACGTAAACTCATCTGTGATGTTATAATTACATCGGCCGCCTCATGGCTGTTTCTGAAACAACTTGCTCCTATAAATTTTGTGTCCAATTCGAAGCTCTGATGACACCATAAAAAATATACCCAACTAGGTAGCAAAATGATTAGAACGCCTTCATTACAATTGTGTTAATGAATCAAATTCGCCAACAGGGAGGCGGGTCGGTCGGGAAATAAGCGATTTCGTACCGCCACATTTATAAGGTAATAAATAATCTAGATAGCAAGGAACCAGTTCTAGTGTGCGTTCTAAAACAGAGGTCAAGTAAAAAATATAACAACAATAGTGCGTTTAAATCGAGACAGTGGCTTAGCCGCGAAGCCCTATAGCGGAGGGGCTCGACGACCTATTTCTTTTTCAGCTTCTCGTCTGCCATTAGACAGAGAGGTGGAATAAAAAGCCTGTCGTGACGTCACGGGGCGGGAGGTGCAAGGGGGGCGGCGCAGCGCCTCGCGGCCAGTACACGGCCGGACGCCGAACTGCGCAGACAGGCCCACGATGCGCGCTCGGTGAAATAAATAATTCGCGATGTTGTTCGAAAGCCCCAACGCTAAACTGTTCCCGGCCTTCAACATACCTCCACCCGTCAGGCTCAGGTGAGCTCCCAGTGTGCCAGAGCGACGAGGCGGCTGCTCGATCACGCCGGCCGTCGATACTACGATCTCTTTGGTTTTTTTTCGAGCGCTCTCCATAGTGGATCATTCGACGTTACCATGAATCGATTATTTGTGTTGAGATGTTTGTATGATTGACGACGTGCGTCGAGTGACCGGCTCGGCTCGAAGGCGAGACGTCGGGACATCGTGAACTNCTCCCAGTGTGCCAGAGCGACGAGGCGGCTGCTCGATCACGCCGGCCGTCGATACTACGATCTCTTTGGTTTTTTTTCGAGCGCTCTCCATAGTGGATCATTCGACGTTACCATGAATCGATTATTTGTGTTGAGATGTTTGTATGATTGACGACGTGCGTCGAGTGACCGGCTCGGCTCGAAGGCGAGACGTCGGGACATCGTGAACTATGTTAGAGCAACCTTTTTGCCACAAAAGCGATCGATTTTTCGTCTGTCACTTGTTTAAGGTTATGTGCGATTTGAAAATCGATTACATCTTGTCGGCTCACGGAGCCCGGTGACTGTCTCACGCGATAGAAACGTGTCCATTGACCAGTCGATTCAACAGTTCCTTCCGAGTGAGCCGAGACGATGAAACATTTCATCACAACCGCCCGTGCACTCGAGCATAACAACGAATTGACAAAAACAATGAGCAGTAGTTGTAATGACTTCATAAAACATTTCAATAATAGCTACAAAATCAAAGTATCTCAGACCTGCATTAAAATATTAAAAATGTTGATAAATCTGTATTTTCAATTCGCAGTAATTGACTGTGAATAAATAAACTACTTCGCACTAATAAATAGTCATGAAAATGGTAGTGGCGTTCAAAACAAAAACATTAAAAATTAGTGGTTAAACACGGACTGTTCGGTTTGATTCGCGGCGACTTACATTCGGTGCGTAGTTCGAGATCTCAATCGTATAGATTTATATTCGTTCCTCAAGCCACGGTTATGTACTGCTTCCTATTTATACATCTGTACTACACCTCTACTCTGGTTAAGTCTGGTTCCTGTTGAATCTTTCTACTGGTCCCGAATATGTTTTGCTTCACAAGTTTAGTTCCACAGAGGAAGACATTCGAAACAATTTCTTCTCCTTCTCAATAGCTAATAGTTGCAGTTTTTAAAATCGTCCCGTGGGGCATGACCCGTGCCCTGAGATGTTTCTATAGCAATATGAGTGAGTGATGTGAGTAGCGCGGGCGTGCTGTATGCGCACCACAACGCGATGCATTCCACAGAGTATTAAAGACACATTAACTATTAATTGTCATTTATCAATGAGCTTACCTTTGATTATTTCATTTTATATTCTTATTGAACTGCCATTTGCAATCGCCGCTGCGACGGTTGCTACCGGAGATCGAACTAATCTGAGTATCACATCACCACACGCAGTCGTATTTTTTGTATTTTCTCTTGTTTACATTTAAAATAATATTCAGATTTTTCGGAATAAAAAATATGCTTTAGAACAAATATTAAAATTACAACCGGAAGTCAAAAAACGCCTATGGACAAAATTACTAAATTTTCAAGTTGTCGTACTTTGGTCACTCGACGTAGATTTTAATGTTTTAATAATTTTTCGATGATTTTTTTGCAAGAATGTTTTGCGTCTATTTTTCTCAATATTGACGAATTACATATTTAATATCAATGGTGTTAACGGTGGCCGCGCGTTGCCCCGACGCTTATCCAGTACCGCAATGAGCCACGCGGGCGGCGCTGCTCATGGCTACTCATTAAAACAATCATGGAATTAACAAAGTAGCCAGTATCCTTCACTACGAGTGAAAGAAGAAAACAGCCTACTGTTAAAATCCTATGACTCGTTTGTTATAATACGCTTTTATTAGCTTCAGGCGTATGTATGTATGTTTGTAACGGAATCTTTGAACATGATTTTGACCCCCTTCAAAACGTCTGATTAACTCGAAATTTGGTATACCTATAAAGGACCGATGGCAAATCAATATTTAAAAAAAATTAAAAAAATTTGAGGTTCAACTAAAAAACGAAAATTAAATAATACTTTTAAAAAACTAACAAAATACGTTTTTATAGAAAACTAGCGGACCCGGCGAGCTTTGTTCCGCCACACGGTTTGTTTCAAACACATCAACCGGTTAACTTCAAAATTTAACCATAGAACGTTTAGCTGTCAGTTGCGTTTTGTTATTCCATATAAGTTTTGTTATACCACGTTTTATGTCACGTCCCACGGGAATGTGATAAAAAATATCCTATGTTCTTCTCCTGTCTCTAAGCTACCTTCTCACAAATTTTCAGCCAAATCAGTTCAGCCGTTCGTGAGTTATAAATGGTGTAACTAACACGACTTTCTTTTATATATATAGATTCAACTAAAAAATAGATAAAAAATAGATTTTTTAGAATAAAATCATTTTTTCTTACACCATTTTTAATTCAAATTTATTTTCTATTTTTAAACTATTATTTATAGATTTACGCTTTTACGGTTATATTCCGAGTTTGTCACATTCATCACAATATCAGCGGGGAGACAGACCTTACACAAGCTAGGAGGACGAGGGGGGCAGCGAAATCGAAATAATAAACGCGACATTCAAAATCGTATAATTAGTTTGAGCCAAGCGCTGGGCTCGCGAGGGCCGCGGGAGGACACGGCGAGTGAGACACTGTAATTGCATTTCGAGGAATTCTGAAGAATGCGATGTTCAACATCAGGTATAATATATAGTATGTGTGCATGCTCGGTGCCCATACATTCAGTCCTCAGTTCCTCACCCGGTGCGCGACTGATATTATGATACCTCAAGTTTACCTCAACACCGGGTAACGATAATTTCGAAAGCTCAAATGGTCAGAGCTTACAGTCGAGGCAGCGGTAGTATTAGCTCGGTTTGACAGACTAGCGCACGTCAGATTGGATGTTAAGTGACTGTTAGGGCGCGGGGACATCTGTACAGTCTTAGTTGTGTGTTAGAATGTCGATTTGTGAGTGCACGTCTCTGTGTGCGCCCGCGTCGGTTGTCTACACAATAGTGCTGGATCCCGGGCAGCCTGCTCGGTGGAGGGGAGGGGAGGAAGCATGTCTCGAGGTGGGTGACGGCCTTCAGACTGTGAATTCTGTGAGACCCGGTGACCACTTCACAGTAAGAGGGTCGTGAGCTCTACCTGTCTAGTGGTAATATAGCTGCCGCGCAATTAAGCCGTCCCACCTACTTCTGCCGCGGAGCATCGCGTACTGCTCGTTACAGGAGACAACTCAAGAGTAGCTTCGCGAATGAATCTACTACCGACCGGATCGGAACCGCGACCCGCTGAGAAGACCCGGCGAGAAACTCAGCGAGCTGATTCATGGGTTAGGTTGCGAACTCTTTGTCGAGTTCGACGAGTACGGTTACCGGGATCCCTGAGCCTGCTCCTAGTGTTAGAACTGAAGGCGTTTAATGCAAGAGTTATTGGATCTGATGGATCCGTAAGGACGTGTCCAGGGCGACGACGGTAACTTGCTCCTGCGTGATCAGGATAAAATACACTTTTGCTTGCGTTCAAAGTATTGACTTGTTCGGTCGTTGCAAACGCTCAAATAGTAATTGGAGTAGCTGATAGCAGTGGGGGGTATGAGGTGCGGAGTGTGTCTGCCCGACTTGTCCTGGACTTTATAATTATTATATTAATTATCTGCCGTAATCCGCGTTAATAAATACACTCAAAATATCCAATCATTCTATCTGAATGCAATAAAACCTTAAATCGATCTATCTTCTATCTAAATTTATAAAAATGAATTGCTGTCCGTTAGTCTCGCTAAAACTCGAGAACGGCTGGACCGATTTGGCTAATTTTGGTCTTGAATTATTATTTGTGGAAGTCCAGGGAAGGTTTAAAAGATGAGAAAATATAAAAAAGCTCGGAATTATATAAAAACAAACAATTTTGTTTTTCCTTTGATGTGTCCCCTTGATGTGTCTTTTATTTATCGATTGAGGCACTACGAAGTCTGCCGGGTCAGCTAGTAATTATTATATTTATCTGCCGTAATCCGCGTTAATAAATACACTTAAAAATATCCAATCATTTTATCTGAAGGCGATAAAACATTAAATATATTATAATAACTATTTCATCAGTAGTTACCTGTTCGCTGGAAAGTGGTAAGCCTAATGTTGTGCGTTTTAAATTTTTTGTACAGCTTTTTGTCGTTTTTGTGTCGGCGGAGCGCGAGGTTGCCGTCCCGGACGCTCCTGCGGTTCAGAGCGGCAACGCGGCAGATGTCCCGGTGACGCGCCGCACACGGGATGTTAATAACCATTCTTTAACCGGAACTATTAGCTGTTTCTTATCTCTAGTTAGACACTAATCTCCTGCGACTGGCTAACTGTATATACAGGTTCAAGTGATCCGGTCGTTGTGGTCCGCGGACATCACAGTGTAGAGGGTAGCGCGCGGAGGTAACCTTCATTTGTAGGAATGTTCATTTTTTACTGGTGGTAGGACCTGTGAGTCTGTACGGGTAGGTACCACCACTCTGCCTATTTCTGCCCTGAAGCAGCAATGTGTTTCGGTTTGAAGGGTGGGTTAGCCGTTGTAACTATACTGAGACCTTAGAACTTATATCTCAAGGTGGGTGGCGCATTTACGTTGTAGATGTCTATGGGATCCAGTAACCACTTAACACCAGGTGGGCTGTGAGCTCGTTCAACCATACAAGCAATAAAAAAAATCTCAAGATTTATAATAACTTTCAACATACAACTAAAATTACTATGCGAACCCAACATTTTTTTGTTTTGAAAAGTTTATATTATGATATTTAGGAATTGAATGCAACAATGTAATAGCTATTCGCAGTTTCATTTCACTTGATTTAGTACTAGGATCACAAACAAATTACACACGATAATGTGACACACTTCTCTAAAGAGTTTTTGTAAAGTAAACAATTTAAAAAAAAAAAACAATTTGTGTTTTATGACGTAAT